TCTAAATCGGAAGGGTTTAGGTTCAGTTATTCAAGTTTTTCTTATACCAATCTTTGAAAAAGTTAAACAACAGCATCAAAAATCTCAGTATTACGATTCCGTTCAAAATTATTTATTTATTTTTTTTAATATTTTCATGTAAATTTTTTAAGCTTAAACCGTTTTTTCATTTGAGGGGATTTTTTCAAAGAACAGCTTTAAGAAACTAATTGTATTCATAAAAAACTCAATTTTTCGAGGTATTTTCAAATCAGTCCAGTTCGCTTAAATCTTAATGTTTTTTTTTTATGGGGAGTGATGCGGTCTAATGTACATACATACCGAGCCCTAACCGCCTAAATAACGTAAGCGAATTTTTTTTTTAACATTTTCTTTTTGATGCAGAAATGCATCTACTAGAGCTTTAGCAATATTTCTGCATCAAAAATACAATTTTGAAAAAAAATGTCGCTTACGTTATTTTGGCGGTTTGGGTTCGATATGTATGTATATAACTTATTCGAAGTTAAGGTTAATCATAGGTTCATAAAGTTTTTTCAGGCCTCGCAGTTTCTTTTCACTTCTCTTATCTTAATTAGGTAACCTGCAAAAACAAAATAATTAATTTTTTTATTAATCAGATTTTCCTCCTCAATATAAGAAAAGTATTTCCTGGAAGTAAACCGTAAAAATTTCTTATAATTCTTTTTCAATTTTATTAAGTCCCGGTTTTCTGTGAGACAATTTATGGCAATTCAAACCAGCCCGGACTTTGCTAATATTTAGCTAGTTAGCTCGTATTTTTATTTTATGGCCTGCTAAAGTTTCCCTTTCCCGGCCTAAGTAGGTTTGAAAATAGTGGAAAATATGGTTAAAATAAATGTCTGAGTGAAATTAAAGGTTAAGAAATACGTATATAGTAGAATTTCATAGGAAATATTTTCGTAGATTATTTCTCATTAGCTCCCGCCTGAAAGAGTCGTTTTCACCCTTACTTCAAGAAACCCCACAAAAAGCAAATTTGAAAGTTCGTTAGAGGAATATATCAATTCTAGAAAATTATTTTGCGCAAAATTTTACTATTTTTACTTATTTTTCTTCTCAAGCAAAAGCTTCATGCCACCAACGTAAAACTCTATAAAAAACAAGTAATTTTTAAGCAAAAATAAAAATGTAAGATTATCGTTAATTCATAACCCGATGATTAATATGGGACCACCTGTATCTAGAATGCATCAATCCTTTTACGACCCTCCAAATTGGTTTTTTGCGGGGTTTCTTGAAGTTAGGGTCAAAACGGCCCTTTCAGGCGGGAGCTAAAAGGTTAAAATGTTCTACGAAAATATTTCCCATGAAATTTTACTACATACCTATATATGTACGTCTTAACCTTTAATTTCGCTCAGATATTTATTTTAACCACTTCTTCGACTTTTGTGAAAACTACTTAGCCCGAGACATGAAAACTTTAGTAAGCCATGGATGGGTATACCTTTAGAAAATGTTAACAAATTCCGGGCTGGTATCGGCTGTCGCATAGTGTTATAAGGCCAGATGCATGCATCAACTCTTATGCAAAATATGGTCAGATGAACGCATGCCAGACGACTGGAATTTAAGACGATCTCGGCATACGCGCCAACTACCGCGGGATCAGCCTTCTAGGCACGTTGTTATCGAGCGTATTGTATGAAAGACTGAAACCCACCCGCAACGAACTGATTGGGCCTTACAAGTGTGACTTTAGACCTGGCCAATCCACTACAGACCAGGTATTCATCATACGTCAAATATTGTCGATATCAAAGCCGCTTTAGGCAGCACGAAATGCCGGGATGTTTGAATTTGGTGTCTCCGCAAAACTAATACGGCTGTGTAAACTGACATTGAGCAATACCACCAGCTCCGTCAGAATTGGGAAGGACCTATCCTGATGTTGAAGAAGATAATAATAGCGTTTTCTTTTCTCAAAAAAAGTTCTGCCCTTTTATTTGGGAACTCTTGCTTTGCGTTGCCCTGAAACCTGAGAAAATGTTGCGTTCTTTATATGAGAATGAAACAGAAAATATACTACTCCATCACAATTAATTTGTAGAACTTAATAAAGCTGAATTATGCACTCAAGTACACAATACATTGACAAAACCGGTACTAGACTGTCTCGCTTTGATTTCGGAATGCTTACACATTGAGAAGTTAGCTTACTGCCAATATAGAAGTATTACATATATGCTCGGCACCCACTTTCCTGTTGACAGTTAGAATTTCGAAAAAGGAGACTACTTCGCGTTTTTAAAACCAGCATTACCGCTCTTGCCAATAAGTGCTACTTTTGACGGAGTAGGGAATTTAGAAATAAAGTCCTCTCTTGTTGGTCAAAAATCACACTCTATAAATCACTCATCATGCCCATGCTGGTGTGTTTCGCAGAAGCATAGATAATGAAAACATCTGATGAGACGGCTCTTGGAGTTGTCGAGAAAAAGATTCTGCGGAACATTATTTACGGGCCTTTGCTGGCAAATTCCGCAGACAATGGAACCATAAGCTGTATGAGCATTACTATTTACGATATATGTATACATGTCGTACGAATGGAAAGAAATGCTGCAGCTCTGAAAATATACAACGCGGATCGCGATGCTGCTAACAGAGGTAAAGGAAGACTTCCTGTGTGATGAAAAGTCCATGTGGAGAAGGACTTGGCTTTATTTGGGATTTCCAAATGGCGGCAGTTAGCACAGAAGGGAAACAACTGGCGCGATGGGCCAAAATTGCTTTGGCGGTTATTGCGCCAGTCAAGAAAAAAAGAAGAAATAAAAGAAAATGCAAAGAGTACTCGTAAACGACAGTAACAGTTGCGATTTAATAATTTGATGGCAAATATAGCCAATAACAAAAAATAGCCAACGTGTAGTTTCGATAAATACCTCACCTTCAATTGGCTATGAAAAAAATACCTTAAAGTAAGTTGTAAAGTCAAGCAGGAGTCATGCCTACATTATCGAGAGGTGGTTTTCTTTAAACCAGTTTCTGTTTAAATGTCCTCTTACAAAAATTACTTTGGAAACACTTTTTTCTGCACTTCGCTGATGCTTTTTTCGAATTTAGGACAAGTAAAATGAAGATCGAAATTTCATATTATCGTTTTGATGCTATGTCTGACGAAATTGGGACCACCTGCAGCAAAACATGTACATAAACAAATATATAATGTTAAACAATGTAAATAAATAAATATCGTTAGCTTAATATAGAAAGGCCAAAACTTATTTTATTTTCAAATGCAGTATTGTACAAATGTCTGCCGATAACTCACTAAGCAAATACTGGATTTTAAAAATATTTACTACAGTCCTTTAAAAGAAGTTCGCAGAAAAAGGACTTGATTTTCTACGGAGTTTTTCATCACTCCGTAAAGAAAGAATTTTATATGGTGCCTTTCTATATCAAGGTAACGATATGTGGAACATTCAAAAAATATGTTTTTCTTATGGATATTTTATGCTCAAAAGTCATCGCGCTTCAAATGTAGTTCGTTATGGCCGAAAGAAATAAGTAATAAAAAGTTGCAACTAATACACTGCTGAGTAGTTCAAAGTTAACTACACACTAGCCTCATTTCCTGTAGGGTACTTACAAAAATGCATTCATGTGCATGTATAGTACATATATACAAATTTATTTATACATATGCATTTATGGATGTAGTTACATATGCATGTATGTACATATATATGAATGTAACCACGTAAATATCATAAAAAAATAAAAAATAATTCCCCATGTCCACCCCGTAATCAACACCAAAGTTATCGAAACCGCCGTATGTCTGGTGCTGATAAAAGGCTTCACTCATTGTTCATTCGTTCCATATTCTCACACCAACATCATAGCGCTAACTAGCTAGTGATGGAAAATAACGTACAATTGTACTTTTTTTAGGCCTTTTTATAAATCAAAAGTGCGTTCGGTACATATACATATAGCATTTTTGGTACATTTTCATCTTTGCCAAATAAATTTTCGTAGAAATTTTTTCCTCCTTGAGGTCATACCAACCTAGTGCAGATGAATCCATGCAATCGAACACATCTCTTCTTAGTCGGGCATCGTCTGCTTTGCTGCAGACAAGAATGATCAGAAATTTGTTAAGGTCGACTTATGTTCGTTTAGAAGGCCCTGCTAATCCTAAGTAAGCACCTGTGGGCAAACATTATGCTTCGTTCCATATCTGACTAACAGTATGCTGCCTCCTTAGTAAACAATGACCTTTATATATAGCTTCGAAGTAATGTTTTCAACAGTGTCGCTTTG